GCTATAACCTGATGAATGAACCTCTTTGCCTTGAATTTAACAGCCCAGTAGATCCCACTGTTTTGACTGGACCTTTTTTTTTTTTTTTTTTTAATGAAGCTAACTAAAACAAGTATCTGAGACAACATCTCTGCAGACATCCACTGACCACAGAGACATGTTTAAACAGTTTGTTTGGAATAAACCAGTGCATGTATGACCTGGAACTCTACTAGCAAATTTTTAAAATTTACTGTAACATATTCTAGAAATATAAAAGCAGCGACATTAATAAATATATGCACAGCCAGGTCCATTATAGTATTATTCACAATAGCAAGAAGAAGGAGACAACCTAAGCATCTATCAAAGGATGAATAATAGATAAACCAATTGTGGTACTTGCATCCAGTGGAAAAATATGCAACTATAAAGAATAATGAGAAGTCCACAAAACACAGCATGGACATTATGCTGAGTGAAATAACTCAATAAGATGGACAAATATTGTACGGTCTCACTTTTATAAAGTCAAGAATAGGTATGCACATAGAAAGTAATTATCTTTGATGGTTAGCAGAGACAGGAGGGGAAGGGAAGAAGACTCATTTTATAGATAGTAGACACTTGGCACTGTAGAATAAGTACTGCACTTCTAACCACAAGTTCAGCAGATCAAACCCACCAGCCACTCCTTGGAAACCCTATACAGTGTCACTTTGATTCAGAATTGAATTGGTGGTACTTAACAAGAGACATTTTTTATTTTTGGTGATGAGAAAAGCAATACCCAATATGGGTGAAGTCTTCACAACTTGTCCAAGACACTAAGTATTCAAGAATAAGGGACAATTTTAGTAAATACTATTATATAACATACAATTTTGCAACAATAATAACAACTAATAAAACATGTGTGGTCACATATGCACATAGGAAGGCACATGTGTGTATATGAGGATGCATGTGTAGGTATATCTTCAGGCATGCTTATGTGTACTGCAAATATATTGACATTATATATTATGGTTGTTAGGTGACGTCAAGTCAGTATCATTTCACAGTGACCTTATTATGCACAACAGAAGGAAACACTACCTTGTCCTTCTCCAACTTCACAATCGTTGCCACCCTTGGGTTCATTGCTGCTGCCACTATGCCAATCCATATATGTATATATATTAAACCTCATGGGGCCACAGTTACAGATACCTACTAAGACAGAAACCTAATACTGCTCAGTATTGTTTTATTGGGTTTTAAGGCTTGGAACTATAGTTTTGTAGAACAACTCACTCAATTGGCATAATACAGTTCATAAAGATCATGTTCTAATCCTAGATTGGTGAGAAGTGACAATTTAAGATATAGCTATTGTTTTTATTCTCTTCTCATCTGGAACAAAGGGGAGTGAAGGAACCCACTTAAGGAAGAATTTTGTCCATGGGACTAATGGCCTATCCAGTTCTGGCCTCTTCTAGTCTGAGACCTGAAGTACTAGATGCTGCACAGATACCACTATTGACCCTCTGACCAGGGACACAATGTTGTTGTTAAATGTCGTCGAGTTGGTGACTCATAGTGATCCTGTACAGGGTTTCTGAGGAGGAGCTGTTGAGTTTGAACTGTGGACCTTGTGGTTTAAACCAACCTTGCATTCTAGTGCTTATCCTACAGCACCAAACCTGGACTCCAGGGACGCAGTTGTTATTGTTAAGTGCCATTGAGTCAGTTCTGACTCATAGCGACCCTATGGAGGGTTTCCAAGGAGAAGCTGATGAGTTTGAACCACCGATCTTGTGGTTCAACTTGACCTTGTGGCCCAGTGCTTTATCCCACAGTGCCACACCAGGACTCAGCTCAATAAAAGGTTTCAATTAGAATGTAGAACAAAACTCCTAAATTAGGCCAGACTTACTGGGCCAATAGAGACTAGAGGAACCATCTCTCAGAGGCATCAACAGTCCACAAAGACAATGTTCTACATCCTAATTTCATGAGTAGTGTCTGGGGTCTTAAAAACTTGTGAACAGCCATCTAAGGTGCAACTATTGGTCTCTCCTTTTTTGGAGGAAAGAGAGTGAAGACAATCAAAGAAACATGGAAACGATTCATCCAACAGACTGATGGATCACAGGAACATCAATCTCCAGGACTCTGAGACCAGAAGAACTAGATGGTGTCTTGGCTATCACTACATGTAGTGGTGGTGGTTACGTGCCATGGAGTCGGTTCCGACTCATAGCGACCTTGTACAGGGTTTCCGAGGCTGTAAATCTTTACGGGAGCAGAAAGCCTCATCTTTCTCCCGCGGAGCAGCTGGTAGTTTCGAACTGCTGACCCTGAGGTTCACAGCCCGATTCGTAACCACTACGCTACCAGAGCTCCTTAGATGGTGCTGGGTAGTGTGGGAGAAAATGTGGAACAAAATTCAAAATCATGAAAGAGACCAGGTTTGCTGGTTGAAGTCCTGGGGTTGTGGCCCTGAGTCATCCTTCAGGTCTGGAATGGAACTCCTTCCGGTGGCTCAGTTTTCAGCCAGACAATAGGTTTATAAGAGGAATATCAACACTAGGAACGTTAGCGTAATCAACAATTTAAGATCAAAAGGGCAGCATTTATCCAAGGGCAAAGTTCATAACTGTTAAGAAAGAAGGAGGAATGGAAACAGGAAACACAGAAAATGGGTTAAGTTATGTTACATCGAGGGCGTTGTCATCAGTGAGATGAAACAAACTGTGTATGGATTATTGAAAGGAAAACTGATGAACTGCTCTAAACCTTCATCCAGTTCACAACAAAATGTTAAAAACTACAAAATAAGGCGATCCCGGCTATTGTCCTAAGAAACCCTTTGAACTTGGAACTGAAGCCACTCCCAGTGGTCACTCTTTATCCAAATAATAGATTTGGATGAATAATACTGTGCTCCCTTAAATCAATCAGCTATATAAGACCAAAGGATGGTCAATATTTATGTTCAAATAAATGAAAAATTAAGGAGGGGAGGGAAGCTAGATGAATGGAAACAGAACACAAAAAATGGAAGTAATGAAAATGTTGACACATTGTGAAAATTGTAACTAAGTTGTGATACAAGTTACATATAAATTGTTAAATGGAAACCTAATTTGCTATGCAAATTTTCACTTAAGATACACACAAAAATATTTTTAAAAAGGAAATGGTGATCCAACGTGAAGAACATAAACGAATGTACATGCAGAAACTGTTGAATGGGTGTATGGTTGGCTGTGTATATTTTCACCAAAAATAAAATAAATATTTTTAAAAGAAAGAAAGGAAGACTCTGAGGCTCAGAGAGGTTATTTCCTGAGGTCACACAGCAAGTGAGTGGCAGAGGTGGTATTCTGTGACTCCTTAACATCACTCCTTCTAAGCAAGGAGTGGTGGAGAGGGATGGTCATGGCTCCCAATGGAAAACAGGCTGTGAGCTCCAGGAACATAGGGACCAGTGCTCAGCACTAGCATGGCACAAAGTAGGTGCTCAATGAATCGGGCAACTGGCTTGTTGAAATAATATTTAAAAGTAGTATCCCACTGACTTTTTTGTCATGATAGTTGTAAAAACTAAATGTAAATATAACATGTTTTCCAATTTAACATTACTGATCAACTTTTTATGTTTGTTGAATCGTGCCATTCCCCCTCATGAAAGTGACCTATTAATGTAATGAAAGTGAGATTTTGTTGGTTTCTGTAAGAGAATTCATATAAATAAACTCACAAATGAGAAATGGGAACAAAGGTTGGTTATCCAGGATTGAAAAAATAGTTGCTGTACTGACAAGACTTTATGGTTCTAGGTGCCGTCTCCCGATTTTCAAGAATGTTCTACAATTTACAGGTTGCAAAGATCAGTAGGGCCTGGGGAGGTCTGGACTTCGCCTTATAGGACTATGTTTTAGGGCCTGCTTCAGTCTCTCCAAAGATGGTGTCCTAAGCCGAGGGTTCAGGTCCAAGTTTGGAGACCTCCCCCCACCCTTGGGCAATAAAGAAAAGAGACTAGTAGCAGGTAAGAGGAAGGGTCTGGAAACTCAGAGCCCCTTAGAAGACAGGCAATTCAATTATTGGTTGGCTCTACTCTAAGTGGAACCTTGGTGTGACATTGTAGGATAAGTGCTTCATAAGATTGGAAGTTCAAACCCACCAGCCACTCCCCAGAAATCTAAACAGGGTCACTGTGAGTCAAACTGACTTGACAGCATTTAACAACAACAACAACAACTACTACTACTACACTATGTAGAAGCCCTGGACAAGCTGTAGGATAAGCACTTGAGTGTAAGGTCGATTTGAACAGAAAGGTCGGCAGTTCACACTCACCAGCCGCTCCTCAGAAAACTTATATAGGGTAGTTGTAAGTCGGAACCAACTCAACGGGACTTAACAACAACAACTCTAATAAGGGTGTGCAGTGACTCTAGAGGATAAGCACTGGACTGCGAACTACAAGGTTGACAGTTTGAGCCCATCAGCTGCTCTGCAGGAAAAAGAGGAGGCTTTCTGCTTCTGCAAAGGTTTATAGCCTCGGAAACCCTACACAGAGCTACTGTAAGTAGAAACTTGTTGGCACTTAATGACAACAACAACTGTAAGAACCTGAGACTTTAATTATTGGTGTGCTTGGCTTTAAGCAAACTTACAATGGACTCAACTGCAGGCAAGGCTGGCCCTAAGCAAAGAGCTAGAGGCATCTTGGCTCATGGCAGGAGAGGAGGTGTTCTTCTGTTTTGTTTTTTTTCCTGATGCTTCATAATCTGGCTCAGTTCTGCCCAATGCCCAAGGTCCAGCAAGTCTGGGGTCTGCCATCTTCTTGTTCCAGGTCTCCACCCATGCATCAGAGAGGGTGAAGGCAAGGGTGAGATCTTCTGCTGTCCTGACCTGGGATATGGATGAGGAGACCTTCGGTCCACTGACTCATTGGGACAGAGTGAAGTGGGGGATCCATGCCCTGTGGGGGGCTGGCTTTAGGGGCATCAGAGAAGGCTGTGATCGGCTCAGTGCTGACTCAGGTGTGTCAACAGGTGGATGACAGCCTCAGGGATGCTGGGCTGGGGGCCCACCGGGGTGTTGAGGACCAGGCGCTTGGAGTGTAGGAGAAGCTCTCGGGCGAAGACAGGCTCCACCTATGGGGTTGGATGGGGCAATGAACTGGCTCTCTCCATTACCAGTCCCCCAAGTTCCCCACTAGAAAGTCACAGTCCAAGTGACAGTCCCCTCCCCACATTGATTTCACAGGCAGGGTCACACAGCAGTTCAAGGGGCCCCCCAGGACTAGCGGGGGCAGCTGAGGGGCATGCAGAAGGACTGGGAGGTTTGGCTTTCCATTGGAGTGTGTATGCAGGGGTAGAGGTGACTCACATGGGCCATGACAAGCCGCTCCTCTGGCTGTCCTGGAGGGCCCGGGTACTCCTCACCAAAGCACAGACGGATCTGGTACTCAGGTTCTGGATGGCCATCCTGTAGGTGGGCACACAATCCTACGGGCACAGAGACTGTGGGGCTGGGCCAACACAGGGTTCCCCTTCCATTGCACACCTTGTACTCATACCCTATGCCCATGTCACAGAAGCCCACACTCCCACTGTGTCTGTGCCCTATGACACTCCCATGCCATTATGCTGACTCCATGCTATGGCCACTTATTACTTATTTTGTGCCCAAGTGCCCCGATGCCCACCTTATGCCCAGCATCCCTATACCAACACATATGCCTAAGTCATATGTTTATGCTCACACCTAGCACCCCAAGTCTGCCCCGTGTCTAAACTCTATACTCTATGCCCACGTTTGTGCCCACTCCCAGTGCTCTATGCCATGTCCGTTGATTCTATGAGCACCCCACCGTGCCCACATCTAGCGTTTCCTTTCTCCACGTTCCTTTGCCAGTCCCAGACCCCATGCTCTGAGCCCGAACTCTGTGCCCCATCCTCCGGTGGCTCTGCTGCCGCGCTCTTACCCACAAGGAAGCGGCGTGTGTCCAGCAGCTGGCAAGTGAGCTCCCGCTCCAGCTTGTTAGGGCTCGCGCGGTGTGGGGCGAGCGGGCCGCGCCAGTACACCCGGCCCTGGCACAGGCGCTTGGCGAATACGCCCTCGGGTGCCACCCACAACAGCACGCCGCGCTTCAAGTGGGGCAGTAGGTAGCGCAGCGCGGGGGCCCCGGAAGGCGGTTCTGGGAAGGGAATTTGCGCAATGCGCGGCGGCTCCAGCAGGTGTTCGGCGGCAGTGGAGGGCGGGCTCAGATGGCAGCCTTCGGCCGTGCGCGCGGTGGCCTCGAGCACCAGCTCGGCGCCATAGAACAGTCGCACGTGCAGCCAGCAATCTGCAGGGCAGAGGGCGCGCACGCCTGCGGGCACTGGAGATCGCTCAACCTCCACCCTTGTTAACCACTATGCCCCCTACCGCCTCTTCACAACCAGAGGCTCTCCAGCTTCCCACCTACGGAGTTTTTGATGATCCCTCCCAATAGGCAATAATAAAAATTCTAGTAGTAGAAATAATAATGATCATTGTTGTTAAGCACGATTCTATAGGGTTTACAAGGAGCGGCTGGTGAATTTGAACCGCCCATCTTGCATCCAGCACTCTATCCCACAGTGCCACACCAGGACGCCAATGATGTAAAAACAAATAATAGCTTCCAGCATATAGGAACTGGTAGCCGTGTTTAGTGGTTAAAGTGCACGTTCTGAGGCCATCTGCATAATGGAGGAGGGGCACTAAGGCCCTCCCAGCTCTGACCTCTGGGACTCAAGGAGCTTCCTCCCACAAATGTCTCAATGTTGGTAGGAGTAACAGTAATGAAGACCATGAAGGTGATGATTATGGTAATACAGCTCCATGGTTGGGCTGTGGGCTTCGCAGCCAGTCCCTTGGATTCAAGCCTCTCATTGCCACTGAGATCTGTGACCTGTTGATAATGGTCCCAGGGTTGCTGACTGTGTTGTTTCAATCTGCGGCAGTTTCTACTTCTGTCCAATGGAGATAATGGCAATACCTGCCTCACAGAGCTGTGGGGAGTCCTGGTGTGGGGCTGTGGGTTAATGTGCTGGACTGCAACATTAGTTTGCCTTAGCTAGGCCAGACCAAATGATTTCACAGGCCTTATAAAAGCCTGAGTCCTGGTGTGGCGCTGTGGGCTAATGCGTCAGGCTGCAAAGTCGTTTTAACTGCAAGGTCGGTGGTTCAAGCACACCAGCCACTCCTTGGAAACCCTATCCAGGATCACTATGGGTCGGAACTGACTCGATGGCACTTAACAACATTTGTTGTTACTGGCAGTCCAGGCTGGTTGCTTTGGGTGAGAAGTCCTTTAGATTCCCTACCTGGGTTGCTGAAATCTTCAGAGTGCTTGGGGCCCCAGGAGTGGGTGGGAGCCTGTGCCTGGTACCCTGGGGGAAGAGACACCAGCTCACCCTGGCTCCTCAGGGAGGCAGCAAGGAAGCAGAATGGGTGAGGGGAGCTGTCCTTACTGTGATCAGCCAAAGGACGAGGCAGCGGGGCAGCAAGTGGTAGGGAGTCCTCCTTTTCCTCATCCTCTGTGAGGAATCCAGAACACTCCTGAGCATGGGGAATGAAGGTGGGAGAGGAGACCTTTGGACCACAGAAGTTCCCAGATTGTCCCCCCTGGAACAGAGGGAAGTCTGGGCAGACAAACACTGTTGGGTTCATAGACTCTTGGAGGTTTCAAAACACAGGACTCCCCAGCACCCTCCCCACACACGTGTGTGTGTGTGTGTGTGTGTGTGTGTGTGTGTGTGTGTATGGGGGATATATGTGTGAAGAGAATATGCCTATGGGTATTAGGGGTGGTAGGGGTCAGAGACAGAGCTTACTACAATAGGGGGAGAAGTGTTGGGATAAGTGAGAAGGTGGAGAGGGTGGTGATGGAGCTGAGAGGCTAGAGGTGGAGGACAGGGTGATGAATATATGCTGATGGGGACACACCAGGGACGGTGGAATGAAGCCATAGATGGTTTGAGGGAAAGAAAGGGCAATGACAATAGATGATGGGGTGGAGGTCACAGGGTTGATACAGACAAATGGATGGAGCTAGGTCTGATGAGGCAAATGGTGATGGAGTGAAGGACCCAAGGATAATGGGAGAGAAGAAATGAAGGAGGAGACAATAGGGTTAATACAGACAGAGAGATTGTGGAGGTGATGGAAACAGTGAAAGAGCCAGAGCTGATGGAGGTGAAAGGAAGAGAGTGATGGAGCTGGAATGATGGAAGAGACAGAGCAGAGGTACAGGCAGGGATGGAGATGAGTAATGGAGGAGAAGAGGTACATAACAGTCCTGGAGAGAGTAGAAACAGGAAGCTAGTTGGGTTAGAGGTGACTGAGTTATTAGGCTTGAGGAGCCAAAGAACATACCTACCTGGTTTGCTCTGCCGGCCTGACCCATCACTTTCCCAGGAGGCTCCTGCTGGCTCTGGGGACTGCCCTTCTCTTCAGGGAGAGCACAGGCTTTGGTCACTGGATGAAGCAAGGGACAGCAAGGGACTGTATAGAGTAAAAGTCAACTGAGGTGATCTCAACATCTCAACCCTCAACAAGAATGCTCCAGCTTACTGAATGACCTCAGGTAAAGCCCACCTCTCTCTGGACCTCAGTTACCCTCTTGTCAATGGGAAGACAAACTAAATGGTCTAAGAATCCTTCTAATTTACCAAACCATAAATGTAAGCTCAACAAGTCTACCCTTTTCCCATTTTACAGTGAGTCCCTTATTATTGTCCAGAGAGCTGCCCGAGGCTACTACTTTCAGAATCAGAATGGTACCTGGGCCATGGGCACCTGATACAATCCGGTAGACCTTGTAGGGGTTGGAGATGTCCAGCTGGCTGCGTTCACGCACCTCACAGAAGTCAGCACTCTTGTTGAGGGCACAGCGGAGTCTCGTCTTCCAGGTGGTGGGGTCCTCCTTGTCAGTGCCCTCCAGGTGCTTGCCCTTGTACACTGCCCAGGCCTGGGGGTGAGTAGGGGTGAGTCCAGGAGAAATAGCCTGGACTGAGGGGCTGGGAACACATGGGGGGAGAGGGCCAATTCTCTTTCAATCCATCCATGTATCCATCATATTATTTGAGCTCCTACTATGTGCCAGACCCTGAGTTATGGTTGAAGACTGATTGAGAAACAAGATAGACATGGTCCTTGTCATCAAAGAACTCTAAGTCTAATGGTAGAAGATAAGCTGCATTAGGTAAACCTGACTACTATATTCCAAGTTATAGATAGTGATGAATGTTAGAAAGAAAAATTAATGAAGCAGGTGGGATACAAAATAACAGCAGTGGGTTGTTATCTTGTGAACTCCAGATGATTAAAAAAAAAGATGTAAGGAGACTTCTGGCAAGATGGCGGACTAAGCAGATGTACTACACAGACCCTCTACTACAGGGGTGGGAACATTCAGCCTTCAGGCCTTATGTTGTTGTTGTTAAGTGCCATTGAGTCGATTCCAACACATAGCGACCCCATATAGTTTTTCAAGGATCAGCTGGTGAGCTTGAATCACCAACCTTGCTGTTAAAACGACTTTGCAGTCTGACGCATTTGCCCACAGTGCCACACCAGGACTCAGGCCTGTGAAATCATTTGGTCTGGCCTTGCTAAGGCAATCACAGTTCTAGCCATCACACTGGTGGTGGTGTGCTGGGGAGTCAGTTTCAACTTATAGCGACCCTGTACGGGGTTTCTGAGGCTGTGGGAAAGATGGGAGCAGAAAACCTCATCTTTCTCCCATGGAATGGCTGGTAGTTTCGAACTGCTGACCTTGAGGTTAGTAGCCCGACTCGTACCAGAGATCCTTTGCCATCACATTAAGGGTGAGTTAATTAAATGTTGGAGCAAATAAAGCAGGCTAATTTTTAAAGTTGATAATTTTGTATGGCCCACGAATGATGTTACAAATTTTGGTAGGAAAAAAAAGGTTCCCCAACAAAGACGGAGACCAAATAAAACAGACACAGATGAAATGTCTGGCACCCTGAACTTCAGAAGAAGGGTTGGAAAGGTGAATGGAGTGCTTGCTGGGAGGAGAGGGGAGAGAGAAAGACTCACTGGTGAATGGCTGGCCAGATGCGGCTCGATTGTTTTGTGAGTAGCTTTGGCAAAAGAAGGAGACTTAGCAGAGCAGACTCTCATGGGTGACAGGAAAGGTGCAATTTCTTCTTTTGCCCCACTCTCCCCTGGTGACCAGAGGTGTGGCCAGCTCCCACATTCATCCACCCGCAGCGTAGACCCTGCTCTCCAGGAGTTCAGAGCAATGTGGTTGGGAGCCACACCAGTGCCAGTCAGGGGCCTGCTGTGCCGCTTTGGTGTGCTGATTTGGTGCCTGGATTCAGGTGGGCTTGCTGTAGACGTACAAAATCCTCAGAGCCACCAGACCAGCATTTAACCAGTCACCCTGTCCCCAGCTGCCCTGTGATCCCAACAGATGCCAGCTCCAAGTGCCCTGAACATAGTTAACACCGAGGCCAATAGGAACTCCATCTAGGAACTCACTGTCACATCCCTTCCACAACCACCTTGTGAGCTCCTTGAATTGCATGAGCCACCCCCAGAGATTTCTCCCTTCTGGGTCCAACAACTGCACTGTTTGTTTTTTATAAATATGACAACCCCACAATGCCCTGAAGAAAACAGACAATTTTAGCTCACATGAAGAAACAAGAGAGAATGAGCAAGATGCAGGACAGAAAACATTTCTGAGAAACAAATGAACAAGATGCAGGACAGAAAACATTTCTGAGAAACAAATGAACAAGATGCAGGACAGAAAACACTTCTGAGAAAAAAAAAGGTAATGGAACTAATTGAAAAATAATTCAAAAGAATTTTTGACAAAAGAAATAATCTCTGATAGTTACAAGGGTAGGGGGTTGGAAAAATTATTCACAGGCTAGAGAGCAGACACATGTTAACATGGGTGATAGGGCAGGCAATATACAACAAGAGGGAGGTCAGAAGAGGAAAGATGAAGGTAGTGGGAGACAGAGGGAAATGCAATAGTTAAAGTGAATAGAGGTAAGTGCTGTTAACTGTTGGTATATGGAAGGGATTACAACCATGTAATGAAGCAAAGTATATGATTTGTTGAATGTAAAATTGATGGTCTGCTCTGTAAACCTTCATGCAATTCACCATAAAAAGCTGGAAATAAAACAGCAGTAAAACTAAAAATTAGAATGTAATATAGGAGAAAATCTTCTATGCCTATTTTGCAAGAACTCATACAAGCCACAAGATACTCATTAAACACTGATCGCTCATTGTGGGAGAGGGATTAAATAAGTCAATAAGAAAAAAAATATGACTAGGAAACCACTTCAGAGAGGGCTCTTTTAAGAGGTGACACAGACCCTTGTATGACCAAGAGCTGGGAGAAGAGTGTTTTAGGCAGAAGGAAGAAGTGCAAAAGCCCTGAGGTGAGAAGATTAATAAATGCAAGCAAGCCTGGAGCAGAAGGATCAGAGGGGAGGATGGTAGAAGTGGTGTTTCATTTATCCCACTCAGGGCTGAAAGTGCTTAGCACGGTGCCAGGCCCAGTCAGTGTTATTTGTTCAGAGTATTAGGGATATGCAAACTGAAAGGTCATGTGGGCACAGGGCACTGTCACTTTCAGTGTTGGGCCAGGAATTGTGCTGAGGAAGGCTGCCAGAAGAGGAAGTGAAGGAATGAACTCCATGATGAGGGAGATCTTTGTTGTGTTCACTGCTGTGTCCCCAAGCACCTAGAACAGGGCCAGGTGCACAGGAGATGTTCAGTAGAGATTGAGGTGGGCTGAGCAGAGGACATGGCTTAAAGCCTGGAAGTATGGAAAGACATGGGCATTCAGGCGGCATTAAGCAGCTTGGTTGTTGTGTGTCTGAGGGTATGTGAAGAAGGGGCATAGGACTTATGAAGGAAGAGATAGGTTGAAGTCAGATCATGAATATCCTTGAAAGCCATGCTTTGATCTATGGATTTTGGGGTACCTGGAGGGGTTGAGGTCAGGGTATTAGTTATGGGTTGAGGAATGGGTCAAAGGAGCCAGAAGGAATCTCCCTCCTCTGAAGAGTAGCACAGAAGTCTTAAAGGACAAGGCTATGCAACAACTCATTCAACACTAAGAATCAACTGTGGGTTACCACCTTTGAGCAGTTCAGTCTGCTGCAGGAGACAGACTGATACAAGGCACTTAGAGTTCAGAGAAAATGGTGTTCCAATGGGGAAAGCAGAAGGAATCAGGGCTGATGTGGAAGAAGCACTGAATAAACACATTCAATATGTGAATGCATCAGGGAAGGGTCTCCTGAGGAGATACATAAGCTGGGAACAATGGGAGTTGGTCAAGTGAAGAGAAAAAGGTTCCAGGCACAAGGAACAGCATGTGCAAAGGTCTGATGGTGAAAGAAAAATGAATCACTTAGAAACGGAAAAGTCAGGCTGGATCTAAAGTTGCTGCAGGGAAGGAGTGGATAAAAATCAGGTCAGAGAGGGCCAGTCCACAAGGACTTTGTGGTCATGGCAAAACACTGGGACTTTATCACAAGGACAATGGGGAGCCTCTTGTGATAAAGGGAAGGATTTTGAGTAGATGGGCATTTTAGAAGGAGAACTGAGGGGAGAAATTCATGAGATGCTGGGGCACACGGGAAGCATTGGAGGCCACTGAGATCATGGCAGTCGTCCTGGTGAGAGATGGTGGAAATGGGGCCGAGTAGATGGATTGCAGGAGTTCTAGTGTGGCACTGTAGGTTAAGCACGGAACTGCCAACTGCAAGGCTGGCAGTTCAAATCCACTAGCCGCTTCTCCTATACTTGGTTGCTCTGAGTCAGAATTAACACTAGCAACATTGCTTACTGGAGTCAGGCTTTTGGTTCAAACCTATCAGCTGCTCCTTGAAAACCCTATACAGGTTTGCTATAAGTTGGAACAGTCTTGACAGCACTTAATCAACAGATGAATCACTGTTCTGGGAGAAGGAGTAGGCCTTCCCTTCCCTTCTCCCCTACCATGGGTGGAGATGTAAGTATAGATGTGTGTAGCTAGGGTACAGGTGTCTGACTCTGCAGTCTGGGTGGCAGATGGTGCCGTCTTACACATTGGGAAATACAGAAGGTCGGGGGGGTGGGTGGAATGAGCTGATGAGTGGGGATAAGTTGATGAGCTGATGAATGGGGGTGAGCTGAGTTTGAAAGACCTGGGAGCCATATAAGAGACAAAGGAGCTCTGGTAGCACAGTGGTTACAAATCAGGCTGCGAACCTTATGGTCAGCAGTTCAAAACTACCAGCTGCTCCGTGGGAGAAAGATGAGGCTTTCTGCTCCCATAAAGATTTACAGCCTCGAAGCCCTGTCCGGGGTCGCTATGGGTTGGAATTGATTCGACAGCATTTAACAACAACAACATCTACATGCCTGGAGCTTGGAAGGGAAGCCAGGGAGACCTGAGGCTCTGCACTGTGGCCACAGAGAAGGAGAGTGGGACAATGGGACACGACATCCAGGAGTGAGTGCTGAGAGACCCAACAGAAGTGTCTGTTGCAGGGTGGGAGCAGCAGCCAGGGAGGTGGTAGTAGGAAAATGGTGGGTGGGGTGCGGATAGAAGAATGGAGGAAATGGAAGGAGGCAGAGATTCTGGAAACCAAGTCAGAGTGTTTCAAGGAGGAGAGAAGAGTTCCAAATCCACCCAGGTATAATAGAAGACACAGCCACAGCATCCTAGGGTTTGGCAACTAGGGGGGCAGAAGCCAAATTGAGGTGGAGAGGACTGTTGAGGGCTGATGAAGATGAGACTCTTTGGGGGTGCTTCCCTGTGTGAAAGAAGTGGAAAGGAGGCCAAAGAAGGGGCCTGGAGGCTGCTGTGGGGTTTGGAGTAGTGGTTGCTTGCGTTTTTCTGCTGGGCGAGATTCCAGAGTTTAAATGTTGGTGGGAAGGAGCTAATTTGGAGGCAGTTAGTGGCAAGCTGGAAAGGAAGGGCACCACTGGGGGAGGTCTCTGAAAGGGGCTGGTGATGGGAACACTCCACAAGGATTCCTAAACTGCAGGTTAGTTAGGGGCTGCGGGTGGAAGCTTAGAGAATTTCCGTTGGTGGTGTCTAATTTCCCTGTGGAGGGTCAGGTGAGGTTCTCTGGAAAGTGGGAATGGTGCAGGAGACACAGCTGGGGCTGATTTTTGGAGGGCGTCTGGGTGTCTCCTACATAAGGTCGCTCTGGTGGTGCCGTGAGCACAACCTTCTATTTAGAGACAACTGGGACTTAGAGGCCGAGCAAGTTGCCCAAGGTTTTTAGGGCCATGCGCTTCCAGAGCCTGTGAGCTTAAGTCGTGTGCCCCCCAGCCCCCCGCTCCCTTACCCTGAAGAGCGCTGCGTCCTGCTGCGCCTTGTAGCCCAATTTGGCCGCGTGCTTCCAGGGAATTCGGAATAAGGTCTTGCCCGAGTCTTCCCAGCACAACCCCGCATAGCGCCCGCTGTCGATCTGCGCCACCAGCCAGTCGCGGAGGCGTAGGGGACCCCCAGCCCCCGCCATGTGGACCGCTTTCCTTCCTCCTCCTTCCAGGAGGCACTGGTCGTCCGGGACGGGACGCAGTGTGCTGGGGCCAGGTCCAAGGTGCAAGGCTACTGAATCCGAGCGCGTCGGAAGACGCGGGCCCACCTGGATGGCGCACAGAGGCGGCGAAAGTGAAAGTCTGGACGTGCAGGTTTCGGTTTCTCTTCTGCCCACACCCCGGAGGCCCTTTCCATTCCTTCGTCCCAGTGACAGACAGCCTGGTCCAGAGGGCCTTGGGCCTCAAGTGAAGGACAACCAGAAACACCCTGGGATGCCAAGACTGGCGGGAAGGTGCTGAGTAGGTTAGCCTGAATTCTGCTTCACCCTGCACCTATTTTCTGTTCTTTCCAGACCATCCGGAAATTTACTGTCTCTCTCCAGGACGTGGACTATCAGATTTAATGCTGGACTATCAGATTTAATGCTTCTCAAACGGTTACTCCTATCCTAATCAGGAGTCAGTGGCTGGTTGAAAATGCACACTCCTGATTTGAGTTTCCCCATAGGTTCTTGATGTAAGTGGACCACACTTGGAGGCCAAAACCCTATCTTTAAGCATCTAAATTGGGTATGACAATAGCATATGAAGTAAATACATAATTCACAATAAAACAAACAAACAAACAAAATGGTAGGGCTGCAGACTAGCTAGCTGGTGACCTGGTGCACCAACTTCAGTTTCCCTAGCTGCTAAATAGCAGCAGCTCCTGATGTGGCGCTGTGGACTAATGCATCAGACTGCAAAGTCGTTTGAACTGCAAGGTCGGTGGTTCAAGTTCACCAACTGCTCCTTGGAAATCCTATACAGGGGTCAAAACAACAACAACTCCATAGGGTTGTTTAAAAGTTAAATGAGATGCAGGTAAAATGTTCAGCCCACATGGAAGCTTATCCATCTTTCTTTCAAGACCCAGACTGTTGCCCTTGGAAAGGCATGTGGTGGTGGCGGTGGTAGTTATGTGCCATGGAGTCGGTTCTGACTCATAGCGACCCTGTATAGGGGTTTCCGAGGCTGTAAATCTTTATGGGGGCAGAAAGCCTCATCTTTCTCCTGCTGAATGGCTGGTAGTTTCAAATAGCTGACCTAGAGGTTAGCAGCCCAACTTGTAATCACTATGCTACCAGAGAGCATAGTGCTTCTTACACTAACTTCTGTAGAATTGGGGGACAGTGATTGGCTCTAAAATGCATAGTAAGTGTTCCACAAATTAGTGGTTTTATTGTTGAATTAGACTGTAGTGAAGGTCATACTGGAAGGTTGGGATGGGCATTAGGAAGGATCTGGAACACCATGTCAAAGTGCTCTGTTTTGTACCATAGATGGTGAGGGTCATGAAGGTTTTTGTGGTGATGGGCTGCAAAGTCGGTTTGAACCATAATGTTAGCAGTTCAAGCTCAATAACTGCTCCTTGGAAACCCTATACAGAGTTGCTGTGGGTTGGAACCAACTCAATGGCACAAAACACCACCACCACCACCCTGTTTAGCCTACAGGTCTATCCATCTATCCATGCATCCACTTGTGGATCACTATTATTGCAGACCGTGGAGATTTTTACACAGGGGAAGATACCAGAAATAGAAAGGTTGAAACCAGATGGATCATGGTGTCTTTCACCAGCTAGGAGCACTGTGAACTCCTGGGACCTTGCCTTCCTTTCCGCTAACCCCCACCTCAAGGCCTTTTCACTTACAAGCTCTTCTGCCTGCAATGCTTTCCCAGGCTATGAAAATGGTTCACTACCTCCCCACCTATCTTTGTTATCTGCTGTAACACAAATACAAGTGGATGGCTTGAACATATTTGTTGTTGTTAGGTGCCATCAAGTTGGTACCGACCCATAACGACCTTATGCACAGCAGAATGTAATACTGCCCGATCCTGGGCCAACCTCACTACTGTTGCCATGCTTGAGTCTATCGATGCTGCCACTAAGCCAATCCATCTCGTTGGGGTCTTCCTCTTTTTCTCTGACCCTCCACCTTACCAAACATGATATCCTTCTCTAGTAACTGGTCCCTCTTGACAATATATCTGAAGTATGAGAGGCGAAGTTTAGCCATCTTGGCCTCCAAGGAGTACTCTGGCTGCACTTCTTAAAAAACAGAGCTATTGGTTCTTTTGGCAGCCCATGGCACTTTCAATATTCTCCTCCAACACCATAACTCAAAGGCATCCATTTTTTTATGGTCTTCCTTACTCACTGTCCAGCTTTCGTATGCATATGAGATGATTGGAAATACCATGACTTGGGTCAGGCGCACCTTAGTTCTGAAGGTGACATCTTTGCTCTTCAACACTTTAAAAAGGTCTTGTGCAGCAGATTTGTCTGATGGAGTACATCGTTTGATTTCCTGACTGCTGCTTCTGTGAGTGTTGATGGTTGATCCAAGAAAAAGGAAGTCCTTGATAACTTCAATCTTTTCTCCATTGATAAGAATGTTGTTTATTGGTCCAGCGGTGAAGATTTTTGTTTCCTTTACATTGAGATGTAATCCATACCGAAGGCTGTGCTCTTTGATCTTCATCAGTAAATGTTTTAAGTCCTCTTCACTTTCAGCAAGCAAGGTTGTAT